AATGGAGAACTACTTGCTGACTTCTGTGCATTCAATGATCTGCTGATTGGAGGCAGTGTGTATCAAAACAATGATATTCACAAAGCGACATGGAGTCGTTCTCAACAGATGGGCACACTAAAAATCAGATCTACTTCATCTCAAGCTGAAGAATGTGGAGACGCAAGCCCAAGAAGGGGAGCAGTTGTAGGTCCACACCAATCACTTCTCTATCTAGTGTAAGGAACCTACCTTCACAATCAAGTTGAAAGCCTTCACAGAAGTTGTTGATGATAGACCACAGTTAGAGTTCAACAACCAGAAGCTAAACTGAAGGATGAAACTACAAAGGACATCTTCATATCAGTCAGCCATTAACACAAAATGGGAGACATTGAGCTACATCCCTGGAGATACCTGCATGGAAGAACACTGGAACTCTTTGAAAGCTATGTGGAAAGAAACCTGCATAACCGTGTTAGGAAGGAAGAGGAAGAGGCAAGACAAGGAATGGATCTCCACGGACACAGGGAAGCTTGTAGAGCAGGAAGAGGAAGGTAGTGAAGCCGATTAACCAGTGTAGTGTAGTGCAGTGTAGAGATGAGCAACGAAAATCGGAACTGAATACAACACTAGACTGGACAAGGAAGTGAAGAAGATTTCATGCAAAGACAAAAGACACTTCTACGACACATTGGCAAGTGAAGCAGAACAGGCTGCAAATAGGAGAGTCAGAGACCTGATAACACTGTAACAAATAACTAGGTTACTATCTGAGATGGAAGAGATAACCACAGAGGAAATCAATGAAAGATAGTGAATAAAAACTAGTTACCAAAACGAAGAATCACAGGAAACAATGGGCTGACCTTTTCAAAAAGCTCTTGAATCTACCAATACCACAACCGGAAACTCGTCCAGAAATACCACCAGCATTCCAGTTACAGAACTACCAGTGAACTCAATCCCTCCAACGAAAGCAGAAGTTCATAACGCCATAAAGCTTCTGAAACACAGCAAAGCAGTAGGACCAGATAGAATTCCTTCAGAAGCACTGAAAACAGACACAGAGAAAGAAGCTGATACGCTCACACCATTGCAGAAGGTTTGGAAGGAAGGAAGGAAGTAAAGGTGTCTGCCGATTGATTGGAAGAAAGGCTACCTTACCAAATGTCCAAAGAAGGGAGGGTCTTCGCAGGGACGGATGCGGAATCATGCTCTCTCATTGTCCACCTCAAGCAAAATTTTAAGTCACATTATCCTGGAGAGGTTAAAACATGCTCTCGATTCAAAATACGACCGGAACAGGCTGGCTGGCTTGTTTCAGGAGGAACAAATCATGTACGGATCAAATTGTAGAGCTATACTACGTATCATAGAACAGAGAGTACAATGGCAGTCAACTGGAGCTTTACCTCATCTTCATCGATTTTGAAAAGGTCTTCCTTCGATAGCGTCGACCTAGAAGTAATTTAGCAATTGCTTCAACACTGCGGTTTTAGTGCCACAAACCTTTGTCAAAGTCATTCAAAAACAGCTATATGCTATATGAGGATGCTACATGCGAAGTGATTCACAATGGAAAGCTCAGTGATGCCTCTGAGGTGAAGGCAGGAGGGAGTAAGACAAGGTTGCCATCAACTATCATTGACGATCTTCGTGATTTTGGTCGACTGGACTGAACTGGATCGTGCAGCAAACTGTGAGGAGCAAGAAGATGAGCAAATGCTGACTGGATCGATGAGAAGACCCCAGAAGAATGATTGGATTTCGCCAACGATGATGATGTATGTCTAATGCCTAATGTCACAAACTCGAAGACCTACAGATGAAAGCTAACAAGTTGGCAGGAGGCGAAGCAGCGAAGACAGGATTTCAGGTGAATGTAGAGAAGAGAGGCAAGATGAAAATGCCCAACCAACAGCAGCAACAACAAACACCAATCACCATCAATAGGAGGAACCTAAAAGAAGTTGTCTGTTTCGTCTACTTAGATAGGTAGCGTCGTTTCAGCTACAGGCGGCACAGACGAGGACGTCAAAACCAGGATCGAAAAGACAGCAAGACAGGCGTTCATTAGACTGAAATCAGTGTGGAGATCTACTGCGCTGTACTCAGAATAAACCTTGAACAAGATCCGGATTTCCAACTCTTAGTCAGTCAGGTAAGTCAGCTCTTCTGTGTGATGGTTGGGAGACTTGGCACGTGACGGAAAGCATTTTCAACAAACTACAGACATTCATCAACAGCCGCCGCCTACGCTCACTTGATACTGACACCGGATATCAGATGGCCAGAAAGAATGAGCAACAAGGAACTCTGGTTGACAGCTAACCAACTAACAACCCATCTCCCAATAAATATGCAGAAGAAAATGGGGATAGAATGGACACACACTAATAAAACCATTCGTGCCAGGCCAGGTCATCGAGTGGAATCCAAAGAGGAAACGACGAGTTGGGCGTCTTACGTTACATGTAGGAGACCGTGTTAGGGCGAAATGAAAGATTCTGGGCAGTTGTGGAACCATATTAAAAAGGCTTCAGAAAAGAGAATGCAATGGAGGCATTCTACTGAAGCCGTATGTTCCACTTGGAACCCAAGGGACGAATAAATAAAATATTATAGTAATAAGTAATATTGTGATGTTGGAGAGTAATGACATCCAATACACTTTTGCTTTTATATGCAAATTGATTTAAGTCTTAGAAAGCCTTCAGTGAGGACTCAAGCATATGTATTACAGGCTTTTTCATCCTTCTATAGAACGGAGATGTGACTGCAATCGAACTCCATTTTGTATGTGCACCTGGAGTCCTAGACTTAGGTACGGGGACTATCTTAATACCTTTTCAGGCAGCTGGCATGGTGTTTTGTAAAAACGATCTGCTGAACATGTTAGCTGATGGATAACGTAAAATATTCGCACATTTCGTGAGTACGAAGCTTGAAATACCATCCGGACCTGAACTGTGAGAAGGATTTTGGGATTTGAGACATCTGAAACATCGTTCGCGGTGAACTCTGAACAACGTTCTTTATAGGACGAAGGTTGACATAGTGGGATCAAACAAGTAGGTTGACGTAAAAATGATTTGTTCAAGATATAGACATCGACAAAACGTTCTTTGCTAAGGTGTTTAATACCAGTGAGGTCTTTAAGAATTTTCCACATGCTGGAAGCACCTTTGAATGACAAAATTTTCTGGTTGTATAATAGACTCAGACGTTTAATTTCCAACGTAAGTAAAACGTTCAATCGACGAGCACCAGCATTATCACTTACCTTATATGGTCTTTCTTTTTTTCTTCCTAGTTCTTTAAGCTGGGGACAGGATATACGATCGATGCGTAGAAAAAGCTTTTCACTTGGGTAACATAAATCTAGGCAGAACTTGAGATAGCATGTTACACCATCAATAGTATCATTCAAATCATCGCTGTCAAATATATTTCAGTCTGTACATTGAAGTATTTCTCTTAGATTAAGTACGTTACGAAGTGAATAGTCTCTATATCCAATCTTCTTATATGTGAAAGATGTTATATGAAGTTTGCCATATATTTTAGGCAAAACACATATAATGCAATGATTTGAGCTGAGCAGTGGGGATCTCTTTCGAGTTTCGTATACATCCGTTTCATTGACGGATACCAAGTCTTATGTTGAATCCTGACGTGTTGTAAAGTTGACGATGTTTTGATGACCTAGAGTTTTGAGATAGCTTTGGTCATAAGAGTTGAAATCGTCATATATTATCGACAGGGAACCACAGAGTATGGTGGCTGAGAGTTCCGTGAATATATGAGAGAATTTGGATAGTTTGGAGAAACTGCAACCAGGTGTCACATAAAAGTTTTTTTTATATAAATAAATCGATATTTATTCAAATCTTTTGCGCAGCATTTTACAGTGATGTAATCAATGTGGTCATTAGAGAATCTGAAGCAAATGTGGCTGGAAATGCGTCAAGAAGTAGATGCATAGCTGATTGGTTCACACTTATGCCTAAGCGTCTATCATTTTGCTATATCAACTCTCCTAGACAAGTTAATAACAACATCAAAATACCGACTGATGGAACAATTGTGATGTATGTCTGGGAAGGAATTTTTCACATTATACGTTTGACAGAATGATTTTACAACTTGAGGAGAAAAGAATGAATAGGAACAAGACCAATGCATGATATTCAGAAAGGCTTTGGTTCTTTAAAAATCCACTGAACAGTAATCAGTCTTAATACCATTGAATCGAAATTAAAGCATGTCTATTCTATTAAAAGTCGTACGTCACTGTATAATTCGATAATTAAGAATATGATTACTATCAGTGCTTTATACAGAGATAAAGGATACTTTATCAGCAAGTTCACAAGAAATGTCGCTCACCAAGTTGTATTATGTCCAGGAAACGTAACAACTTCAAAATTCTAGGTGAAAAAACAACTGCTTCAAACAGAAGGTTCTATTCACTACATTTTTACAATCAAACACTCGAGTACACACGTAGATATTTGTGCACAAGTCATTTTAATCAACTATTAAATATTTATAGACTGAATCTCTTTACCACTACTACTACTCTTTTGTATGTTGTCATTCGAAAAGCTTGTGCTTTCCTATCAACAGCTATCGTGTTTACTGTCTATTAAAAAATAGAAAAATGATCAGCCATTATTTTTTCCAGTGAAAAGTGATGCTTTGTTTATCTATCTTTGCTGATATCTTGAAGTGATAAATGTAAAAAAAATATACACATTCTATCAAAACGTTAGGCATGATTTATCATTTAGGATTTAAGAAAGTTGAAAAGCGAACGCCTTCAGAACTTTTAGTGTATATATATATATATATATATATATATATATATATTTGTGTACCTACACAGTGAAACGAAACCAAAAATAGTTTGTTTTGAACATCTTCAGTGTGGAGACAGACACATATGGTGGATTTCTTTCAATGTTCTGTTTTATAATAAATTTGATCAAGATAAGTAAGCAGTATATTGTACTTACTTAATTTTAAACAGACTTCACGCATATTTTGCAGTTGACTTCTGTTTAAAAGATTTAATTCATTTTGATCTACAGATGGAGGGATTAAATTGAACTGTCTGGCAACTGTTTGAGCCTGCTATAAATTGGGGTAACAAACAGAAACTAGAATTAAACACTACAAAAATTGACAAACTAGTAGATGTAAGAATTTCTTAAATCATGTGAGAATAACAAATGTTTCTCATTTATATTTTCGTGCATTACTTTTATCTGCTAGCCAATCATTGTTACGTTTAGTGTTATTGCTAGCCACTATCCATCATTACTATATTGCGAAGTTCAATTAAATTTTTGTTTTAGATAAGTAAAACGTTATGAATAATTGGTGGGAGTCTGATGTTAGTTTGCGCTACATTTACTCAACTGAAATACAGCATTTTGAAATATAAACATAGGAAATCTTATCACGCAATATACTGATTATGCGTTATAACATATAGTGAAACTGTATTATTTACTAGATGTCGTTTGAAACAGAATTCATTGCCAACATTCATATCAAACTTATCATACGACTTTCAAATTTCCTGCTCACTGTTCAGCAGTTCATTCGTTTATTTTAGTAGCATTTAACGTTTCCAAATATGTGCAGTATGTGAAAAGTCATTTCTGTTACATGTCTTAGGTGGTGATTCAATGAATAAAGCTTCTGTGAAAAATCTCTCCGTCCACTCAAGTATATTAGATTTCAGAATTGTTACCCTATCCCACTCTACAGTGTGATGTTGGGTCAAAGCATGCAGAGCGATAGACAAGTTTTTCTCTAAGTCACTCATCTTAGTAGGGTCTATCATTGTATATTTCGCTAACCTTTTATGCTCTGCTAATCTGACTTGTTAGTATCGGCTACTCTGACCTATATACTTGACCTCAGAATCCTCATATGGTACTTGATGGGCTATGTTATTAGCTTAATTGAATTCAGTGGATCCTTAGGCCCAGAGTTTCTCTCAGTGAGATTGTGGGTTTAAATGCCAGCCTAGTCTCAGCATTGTTAAGAATTTCTTAATGAAATTTAAAATGTCGTGATGGCAAAATGCCTTGGAGGGAATTCCAATTCTCTCTAGTGTTATTATATGAAGAAGGTATATGGGAAATCCTATGTGAAATTCTTAACATTTCTGGGATTAGGGTGGCATTTAAACCCACAAACACGATCAGACAAAAACTTTGTAGGCTGAAAGATCCAGTAGAGCAAATTAAGCTGATAACCTAATTAATCAAATGTCATGTAATGTTTGTGAAGTCAGGTTTATAGGTTAAAGTAGCCGATACAAACAAGTCAGATTAGCAGAGCATAAAAGGTTAGCGAAATATACAATGATAGACCCTACTAAGATGAGTGACTTAGAGAAAAACTTGTCTATCGCTCTGCATGCTTTGACCCAACATCACACTGTAGAGTGGGATAGGGTAACAATTCTGAAATCTAATATACTTGAGTGGACGGAGAGATTTTTCACAGAAGCTTTATTCATTGAATCACCACCTAAGACATGTAACAGAAATGACTTTTCACATACTGCACATATTTGGAAACGTTAAATGCTACTAAAATAAACGAATGAACTGCTGAACAGTGAGCAGGAAATTTGAAAGTCGTATGATAAGTTTGATATGAATGTTGGCAATGAATTCTGTTTCAAACGACATCTAGTAAATAATACTGGACCATTGTGTGTCATATCAAATTAACAATCTAACATGGAATTACACTCTATCACAGGACCCAGATTTCAATCTTACATAAAATCTCATGTCAAACTCGAAAATGCTAAATAAGCCAGAAGATGCACGCAATTTCCAATTGTATGTCCAAGCGCTATCCTGCACTCCTGGCGAAGGGAGGAAGATATATCAATTACCAGTTCTATTCATAAAAATTCAGTCAAATCTGAACTTTTAGCTCTACCAGAGTCCTCCTTCACTGTTATTCACAGTGTTCAAAGGAGGATAATTCAAAAAGAGCACAATTTCGTTAGCTATGTACAACGGAGACTTTTGCAATTCGCTAATTCAAGTTTTATCTCTGCGCGTAGAGGAAGTATGTTCAGTCTCTTATCCTACCGTCATCTTAGTACTCAAATTTTTTTAATTTTATTATAATTATTTAGTTTACTAATATCATCTCCATTATGACCCTTGTTTCTCTCTCCGCCTTCTTTATATCTACCAAGTGGACACTAAATTCTCTCACTTTACACCTGCCAACAGTTTTCACCGTATCATACTGTTTTCCCATCTCATTATTCCCATTGCCCAGAGGATTATTATGCAGCTACTCTGCAATTATACCCTAATGTTCAGTAATTGACTGTTATGTGTTTGTGATAAATAGAAATACGACTGTACTACTTTAGAAAGTGATATCGTTGAAAAAAAAAACTTTCTCCAATGAATTGACTCTGGTGTTGAATTTTTGCTGACAAAATTCAGAGTTATAACGTTTTTACAAAGAAGCGTACAATAAACTGACGACTGACTCTAAGGAACACGGAATAAATAACAGAATTATCAATCAGGCTTACTTATTTCAACTGAAGAAGTAGTTCTCAATCGTTGTTAGGATGGCTTTAAAATTATAATGAAACAAGACTTCTTTCTAGGTATCAAAATTCTTGTAAGAAAAAAACTTTTGCACTGTGCTAAAGCACAACTCCGTATAACATTGTTCATTTGACTGATATAGCTAAGGGTGACATAGTATAATTAACTGGATGACATTTCAAGGCGAATTTATTGCTCGCTAAACTCGTAATGCTAATTTTGCAAGTTCTTATCTTTGTCTTTGAAACTGCATTTTAGATGAATACCAGCATAATATGAATCTAGTAAGATGGTTAAATTTGGTTGGTACATTAAAATCCAAATGCCATAAGAATACACTGTCGGTATTAATCACAAACAATTTTTTTGGATGAATCTGTCTGTCCGAAGATATTATATCCGAACGGCGCAGTTTTCGACCTCTTCAGGAGTTATGGGTGCAGACTTCTGAGAAATCTCATATCAGGAAGAAACAGCTATTCAGTGTTTTCAGATTTTCAGTGGTACTCCAACTGAATATCAACGATGAATATCGGCTCGAAACAGAAAAATAGTTATTGGCGATTCAACAACATTCAAATCCTGAATTGATAGTATTTCAATTTGTGTTGCAGGAATAACGAACTTTAGTGTCACAAATCTGAAGGCCGATGATCAGCCGAAAATTGTCAAATTACGATCAAAATACAAGCTAAGAAGCTAAGTTAGAAAGAGAGAGAGGGCAAATTTTGCCTATTTTCTTGTCAAGGTCAAGACAATTTTTTTTACTACAGTCTCTTCCCTACATAAATTTGAATAAGTCCAGAGCAGTGATTAAAGCAGAATAATGCGGAATTATTGTATTTCACCGGTTTTCATCAGGTGTTCAAAACGTAAGCATATTTGATATTATTCTGATATTCACGTAAGGTTAATATCATGAGAAATAACTTTACTACTGTTTAGTGAAATAATTAGAGCTCTCAAAGATATAAATTGGAAGTCCATGTCGAACTTGAAAGGTTTGAGTGAACACAGGCTTAACTGAGTCCAAATATTTCCAATTAATTTAAAATATCACACATTGTATTCATGTTCATGAAGTTATACAGTCAGTATGACAACGTTTTACTTCTGTGTGAAGAAATGGATCTACTCAGCTTCTGCTCAATATGAACTGAAGATAATACAATTTTATCAGTGAATTTTGCTATGAGTGAGTTAAGTGAATTGAAATGGATAGCTTTCTAAAGTGAACCATGACCGATATTTTCCGCAGACTGATTGATCAGATAGCATGTTATCCATTCCTGCATTCCACTACTAGCCACCATCTTGAATATTCAGGACAACTTACAGGGATATATAAATCACCGTATTCAGTGAAACCAGGTGATAGCAAACATCACTTTCATATTAATAGAAAGTTTGGCCATAAATAGTTGTATGATGACTTATTATGCCTGCTACTCATACGAAGACTTTGAATACCTTCTCAAATAGTCACCTAGATGTTCATCTCAAAAATGTAACACATATCATCCTCATTCAGCGATGGGAGATATGTTAGACTTTTGCGTGTAATTTCAACAAATTTTGCTAGACGACTGAAAGATATTATTACATCAAACGTTTTTGCTTTTTCTTAATGTCCAGACATCGTAATAACTATAGACGATAGCGCTGTGGTACTGAGCATCTTTTCAAATTTCTTTAAATGTGATTATTGCTATGATTTGTTTGAGAATTACCACAAATGAGTTATTTTCAGTTTGCAAATGGAAGGTTTTAAATCTCATCTATTTCTGGAGCCAGAAATTTACCACCTAGTGCTTCATCAACAAGCATTTTTTCTCCAAACCTATGGATATTATTATCCCTTTAGCATCAGTCAAAGTTTTATTTAAAGCTGATCTAAACTTTTTTACATGAGTAGTTCCTATTCGTTGATGTCTGAGTCAGGATTTTGATAGGAACATTCGTTGTTAAACTTGCTGACTTAATGCTTCGTTATTATTTGTTCAGTCACAAACCAAGTTGCTCTAGCTTACTTCTAGATCATGCTATGAAGTTAGACCGGCTGGAATAGCTCAGTAGTAACATCTGTGACTGTAAAACTAGGTGATCTCAGTACAGATCTCTTCATGGACGGAAAGTGCCTCCATATGGCGGATGTTTATTTTTAACGAGGGACAACAAATCATAAACATAGGTCCAGTGCTTCTTCTGGAGTGTTTCTAACCATTTATCATCACAAAAGGTGTATTATGGTGATGTATCTCCTAGTTAAGTGGGCGGACGGCAAAGTAAACTAAAGAATTGGATCAGCCTAAAGTACTAGACAAGATGAAGTTGGTTTTCCTTCATTGACTATTAAACGTACATTATTAACTTACAATACATATATATATATATATATATATATATATATATATATATATATATTCATTACTGTTATTTGTCCCTTGTGCTCCTAAAGCAACATACGGATTCAGTGGCACATCACCATTCCACTCTCTTCTCTCAAATCTTCTCAACATGGCTCCACCG